TCCTGATCTGTAAGGTTTCCATTGAAAAGTCTGTTGCCAGACACCAGGTAGACTTCCAAGTAGAACATTTTGGAGCTCCATTATATGTTATTTATTTCTTTTCTCTTGCTGTTTTTAGGATCCTTTCTTTATCCTTGACCTTTGGAAGTTTGATTATTAAATGCCTTGAGTTAGTCTCCTTTAGGTTAAATTTGCTTGGTGTTCTACAACCCTCTTGTTCTTGAATATTGATATCTTTTTCTATATTTGGGAAGTTCTTGTTATTTTCCCTTTGAATGAACTTTCCTTATTTCTTTCCCTACCTCCTCTTTAAGGCCAATAACTCTCTAATTTACCTTTTTTTTTTTTTTTTTTTTTTTTTTTTTTTTTTTTTGCTATTTTCTAGATACTGTAAGCATAGTTCTTCCTAAAAAATTCCCTATTTTTGGTCTCCTCTTACTGTGTATTTTCAAATAGCCTATCTTCAGGTTCGCTAATTCTTTCTTCTGCTTGATCCATTCTGCTGTTAAAGAGCATTGATACATTCTTCAGTATACCAATTGCATTTTTCACCTCCAGAATTCCTGCTTGATTCTCTTCAATTATTTCACTCTCTTTGTTAAACTTACCTGACAAAATTCTGAATTCCTTCTCTGTGTTACCTGAAATTTCTCTGAGTTTCCTCAACACGTTTACTTTGAATTCTATCTGAAAGGTCACATGTCTCTGTTTCTCCAGGATCGGTCCCTGGTAGCTTGTTTAGTTCATTTGGTGAGATCATGTTTTCCTGGTTGGTGTTGTTGCTAGTAGATGTTCTTTGGTGTCTGGGTATTGAAGAATTAGGTGTTTACCATAGTCTTCACTGTCTGGGCTTGTTCGTACCCATCTTGGGAAAGCTTTCCAGATATCTGAAAGTACTTGGGTGTTATGATCTAAGCCATATCTGCTGTAGGCAATACCCCAAGACCAGTAACTCTGTGGTTCTTGCAGACTGGTGGAGGTCTTGGACAAGATCTGGAAGAATTATCTGGATTACCAGGTACAGACTCTTGTTCTCCTCTCTTACTTTCTCCCAAACAAATAGAGTCAGTCTCTCTGTCTCTGTCTCTCTCTGTCTCTGTCTCTCCTTCTCTCTGTCTATTCTTAGCCACCTAAAGCTGGAGGAGAGTGATGCAAGCATCCCTATGGCCACTTCCACTGTGACTGCACTGAGTCAGACCTGAAGCCAGTACTGAGTCTCACCAAAGGCCTGCTATAAGCACTCCCTGGCTAATGCCTATATTCACTCAAGACCCTGGGACTCTATAATCAGCAGGTCACAAAGCTAGTCAAGACTGTGTTCTTCTTCCCTTCAAGTTGATGAGTTTCCCCGGGTCCGTCATGGGTATGTCCAGCAGTGCCATCCAAGAGTCAGAGACTAGAGCAAAACCCTTTGAAGTCTACTTCAAAGGTGTCCTATTGTACTGTGACTTGGCTAGCACTCAAACCACAAGACACAGTCATTCTCAGTCTTTCCTCCCATTTCCAAAAGCAGAGAAGCCTCACCCTGTAGCCACCACCACCATAGGCCATGGGGAGTATGATAAGACTACCAAGGATGTTCTCTAAAGACCCCAGAGCTCTTAAGTCAGCTTGTGGAGAATGCTGCCTGGGCTGGGACTCACCCTTCAAGTTTAGGCTCTTCTATGGCCCAGAGTAGGTCCAGAATTTGCCATCCACAAGTCAAGTCCTGGAATCAGTGATCCTCAAGAGCCTGCTTAGTGTTCCACCCTCCTGAGACTGTGCTGGTCCCTGAATCCAGCGAGGCTCACCCAAGGCCCTTGATGTAGCATCTGGATATTGCTGCTGGTTATTCAGGGTCCAAGGGTTCTTCGGTTAGTAGGTGATGAATGCTGCCAGGACTGGGTTCTTCCCTTCAAGGCAGCCAGTTCCATTCTGGCCCAGGGAGTGTCTAAAAATGTTGTCTGGGAGCTAGGGGCCGAAACAGGGGCCTCCCTACTCTACCTGGTGCCCTGTCTTGCTGTGGCTGAAGCTGCTATCCAAGAAGAAAGACAAAGTCCCCCCCACTCCTTCCTCTCCCCTCCTCAAGCAGAAGAAAGGGGTCTCTTCATGTATAACTTATGCAGAATGACTTGACAGCTTGTGTTCTAACTACTGCCCCATATTGTCTTCCTTCTAGATTCTGTATCCTCAGTTCCTTAGCTGAATGGTTGACACAGTTGAAGCAGTCAATAACATTTGATGAATAAATGAATGGATACATGAAATACTGAATGAATGAGTAGAAGATAGAGAGGAGAATTAAGTCTTATTTTACTATGTGGAGTTTGGAAGGGAAAACAAACATTTCTTAGGAAATGCCAATAATCACCTATATTTAATATTGTTAACGAATAAGGGAATGTGCCTTCTTTCCAAGGAAAATGACCAGCTTATCTACACTAAAGGAAACAACAGTCCATTGGCCCTCCTAGGCACCCCCAAGCATGGGAGGGATCACTCTCACACTTTCTGTTTGCTTCTTCATTTGCACCTAAACCCAGCCCATGAAATGCTGTGAATTTCATGGCCATACCTTATGCCAGTAAAAAGCCTTTCATGCTCTGCTAATGTGGCATTTGTTTGGTAATATGCAGGAGAGAGCATTAAAAATAAATCCAGAAATGGCATCTTATAAATTTGGATTTTCTGTTCTTATAATTTATAGGAGTTCATGTTAGAGAGCACTGTCTTATGCATAAATACAATTTCTTTGTGAGCTGATGATGGAATTTATATCTAAGGGGGTCGAACATATACTTCATGAACTCAGCATCCACTATTATAAGCTATTTCATGTATAACTGGAGACAAATGATCTCTCCCCCTGTTTGTCTTAACTTAAAATTCAGTTGGTTTGCTTGAATTCATTTCCAAGTCACGGGAGTGGGGGAAGGGAACTCAAGATTTATACACTTTTAATATAATCAATTCTAAACATATCTTTAGACAAATAATTTAAAAATCTATGCATCACAAAACACCTCTATTAATTTCAGAGTACATAGTTTGGAGAATTTTTATGTGATTGTGGGTTTGTGTGTTTAAGGAGATTTTTAAAAAAAATCATCCTCTCTTTCCTTTCTCCTCAGAAAGAAATTTTAACAGCAATGTTTTGAAATAAAATCCCACAAGGAAACAATCCCCCCAGACAATTAAACTGGGAGAAGGTCCCCTGAGGGCAGACCAAAACAAAATTCGTAAAAATAATTGCTGTGCTGGGTTTCTGCCGTATTTTGGCTGGGCATAAGCAGAACAGTGGGGGCCTGTGCACACACTCACAGAAAACACACACACACAAACACACAGAGTAAGTGTATCCCTTCATGGAGCAGGCTTATGACACCGTTGTGTGTAACTACCTGGCCAGACTCAGGTCTTTCTGGCAAGAAACAGTGATTTGGAGGCTGCAGCCAATATAAAATAACAATCAGGTCATTTACAAGGTTCTGCCAAATATTAACCTTATATCCAATTCTCTCCCAACCTTGCAGAGTCTCTAATGTGAACCAGGCCAGCCCCCAGTCATTTTACCATATTCCGGAATGGGGGTGGAGGCAGTAAGCAAGTTGGGGAACTCAGTACACACTTGTTAGAAATAAAATATCTTAAGGGGGTGTGTTTACACTAAGATAATGATGTGGTTTGTTGGCCTTTTTTTTTTTTTTTTTTAATAAGTGCCAGAAAGATTGTTTAATTGCCCTCCCCCTCCTTAGGGGAAACGCAAAGGTTAATTCATCCAAGAAAGTGGGGTTTGCATTTGCCCTGAAGATAACAGAATTACTTGAGCTGTGGTCAAGGGTGTAGGAAACTGTGGTTTAAAGCCAGGTGGCTCAGAGTGTTTTGGCAGGGAGGATTGAAGTTATGGTTTTGTGTCTGTGTCAGGGAATTGCTTTGGACAGAATCATGTGGTACTGGGTTTAATGCTGTACTCAGGAGCATGCTCAGACAGCTAATATTATATTAATATTTATTATTAACATAGCTTCACAGTTATCTTTAGCACTTGAAAAGAGATCACTGATTTGGACTATAGCCTCTACATCTCCACTTCTCATTTTTTTTCTAGCAACCACCCTGGAACCCCTTCCATGTGCTAGACACCATGTCCTATTTAATCTACACAAGAGGTCAGTACTGTCAATATCTCCATTTTAGAGATAAGGAAAAGGAGGTTTCTTGGAGGGGGAGATACCTCTCCCAGGTCAAGTGGCTACAGAATATAACCTAAAGGCAAGCCCCCTGACTTGGCAATCCATACTCCATTCTTCCCTCTTACGAGAGCGTTTAGCCCTCCATGCCTGGATCCATTCTGCAGACATTTCTAGTCTTCGCTTTCCAAAGCGAGTGAAACCAATGCTACTGAGCCATGTCATGGAGAACTTCTAAACTTCTCAAACCACCCATGATCACCAAGATTCAATGGATAAAATAATTCCTAAGTGAGCCCATCTGTGTGAAGCATAGATTGTGTTCCTTCTCTGTCCCTGCTGTATAAATTCTAGCCAAGTTTTCCTTCCCTCTCTAAAGGCCGACCGTAGCTTCCTACTGAAGGCCTTGGAGAACTTAAGTGCAATTTCTATGCTGAAATTAAGCCAGGCGAAGGTTTCAACAATGACAACAACAACACTGGTCCCTCTGGGTCTTCTCTCAAAATTGTGGGTATCACTACTTCTTTGGAAGCGGAGGTGACATTTCCTGACAGCCAAGACACTGCATTGTACAGTTAGTTAGTCTTCTTTGAATGTATTTCTTTCTTTCTTTCTTTCTTTTTTTTTTTTGGTGGAGTGGGGCCTGGGGAGGGGGACAGGGCTCAAATTCTTTAGTGAATGGAGTGTTAGAATAAACAGCTCTGCACAAAAGTTGGGATAATGTTTTAAAGTGAGTACCAGCCAATGCAGTCAGGAGAAGCAGTTTTAACAGCAGGGCTGTTATTTTAACAATAGGTTACCAGATCCATTGGGCAATCTGACTAAAAGCCCGTATTTATTTCCCTAATTTTATAAACATTTAATAGGTCCTTATTAAACACATCAGCCAGCATGATTTAATAACACAATCAGTCTAGAAGTTTAAGAAAATTGAAAACAGGATTTGAATGTAACGCAGCCACAATTACTGGAGCTTATAGGGAATCATTCCCATATGTCTCCAGTGGAGAGCTGCTAATCTCTGTTTGCGTGGAGGTGATTTCCTTTGGAACCCTGCCCAGCCTTCAACAGCACTAGGGCTGAACAAATTAGATTTGAAAGTCCCCAATTTTATGACTAAGGTAATATACTCTGTGTATTTAGAGAAACACTAAGTTCCTATTTTCACTGGCTCTCAAATGCTGGACAGAGACCTTGATTTCATTTAGTTTGGCTCCACTTAGAATATGGTCATAGGTCTGAAGGAGTCCGCATATGTTTTTGTGTGACTTTCATAGATATTCTAACTCCTCTCCACCCACAATGCTGAGGCGTTTGCATCATGGCTTGGTGACGACAGATCTCAGGAATGTGCTGCAATTAGACCTGGAAGACAGCCGGCTTCTAAGGGCCTGGGGACTCCCACCTTCCTCTACTAAACTTTTGCGCCTCCATCTCATTCCCTGTCCTTGGCTCATGGTACCCTCCAAGTGGCTTTTCTTATGCTCAGAGAATAGCAACCTGGGAAACTAGGCTGTGGTTTTCTCTTTCTTAGGGAGCTTCTGGAAGAGGTGAACTCTGCAAAGAGACAGATTGTCTTGATTCTGGGTAAAGCAGCAAGGACCAGTGGGCTGACGATGGAAGTCCTGGGGAGTGCAATATTAGGAACAAACCCGGAAGCCACATTTCTATTCATATTAGCTTGAAATTGGGCTGGATGGTCTCCCCCTTGATGTTCCCCTCCCATCCTGCCTCCTGTTTTTATAGAATGAGTGAAATATAATAACAATGACTCCCAATTCCTGAGCACTTACTATATGCTAGCACATTATGATATGGCCAGCTTTAAGCTTCACAATAACTGAATAAGATCAGTATTATCAACCACACCTTACAGAGAAAGAAACTGAGATTCTGTTGACTTTGGAAGCTTCCTGTGGTCTCAGCAAAGCAAAGATTCAAACCCAGAGGGCATTGATTTAGAACTTCCTCTTCTTTCTTTCTTTCTTTCTTTCTTTCTTTCTTTCTTTCTTTCTTTCTTTCTTTCTTTCTTTCTGTCTCTCTCTCTCTCTCTCTCTCTCTCTCTCTCTCTCTTCTCTTTCTTTCTTTCTTTCATGATACTTTATGTTCCGGGGTACATTTGCAGAACGTGCAGGTTTGTTAGACAGGTACACACATGCCATGGTGGTTTGCTGCACCCATCACCCTGTCATCTACATTAGGTATTTCTCCTAATGCTATCGTTCCCCTAGCCCCTCACTTCCCCCGCAGGCCCAAGTGTGTGATGCTCCCCTCCCTGCGTCCGTGTGTTCTCATTGTTCAACTCCCACTTGTGAGTGAGGACATGCGGTGTTTGGTTTTCTGTTCCTGTGTCAATTTGCTGAGAATGATGGTTTCCAGCTTTATCCATGTCCCTGCAAAGGACATAAACTCATCCTTTTTATGGTTTCACGGTATTCCATGGTGTATATATGCCACATTTTCTTTATCCAGTCTATCATTGATGGGCATTTGGGTTGGTTCCAAGTCTTTGCTATTGTGAACAGTGCTGGAATAAACGTACGTGTGCATGTGTCTTTATAGTAGAATGAGATACAATCCTATTCTTAATTGCTATTTTGAGTCTGTTGCTTCCAACAATGGTAAAGATAATGAGAGGACAACAATGCCTTATGTGTGCATGAAAAGGAAGTGTACCTTTTCCTAGACAGCTTTCCACTCAATTCAAGATTCTAGTTTGTTTCCTCCTGGCAACTTCCCTTTACAATGTGCTTTTGGCTTTTGAAGACCTAGAAGCAACAAGAGGAGGAAAAGGTAAATGGCTAGAGGAAGAACTCTGGGTAACGCTTAAGAGAAATGTTGAGCAGCCTGCAGAGAAGGAAAGAAAATGCGATTTCACAGTTCTTGAGTTAAAACTTATTTAGGATTTACCATATGCCAGGCACTATTCTAAGCACCTTTCTTCTATTTCCCTTCATTTTAATCCTCCCAACAATCCTGTGAGGTAGTTCTATCTCAGAGTAATCCTATTTTACCCACATTAAGTAACTTGTTCAAAGTGACCCAGCTAGTAAATGGCACACCGGGATTTACACCCAGGCATTCTGGGTCTAGTGCCAACCCTCACCACGGTGCTAAGACATTGTGTATCAACTAGTCCTTCATTCGGTGAAATGCAAGGAGGGAACTCATGTTGCTTTTAGGTTGGTTTTTGCTTGCTGAACCATATATATTTGACCTCCTTTGAGCCCCTTGCCTGAAGCCCTCAGGTTTTTCTAAGCAGGTGGGATTGAAACCCTTAAGTTATCGAGTTGACTTCACAACCTAGGACCACATCCTCCTCCCCACCGCATGCATGCCACCTCAATCATATGTGTTCAACTCAGTCACAAGCATCTTCATTAACATTTATTAAGATTATATGTGCTGAGCTTTAAAATAAAATGGAACCACTTTGAAACTTTTAGGCAAACAAGAACACCAGAAACCTACATTCACCCTCCATTCTAGCCAGGGATTTGAGGCTCCCCTAATGGCAGAATGTTTGAACTCCCAGCCAATCACTAGTTTTTTTAGTCAGTGCAAATAGACTTTTCTTTTTTTCATTTCTTTAATCTAGAGCAATCATTGCTCAACTCTAGCATGTGTAAGAATTGCTGTAGATCACTGAATGCGCTAAACAAAAGGGTATCTTCTGAACATGACGGGCAAGGAGGACTCCGCCTCCCCTGCAGATGCCAGGTGAGAGCACTGGGTGAGTTGACTCAGTGACCCACAATGCTTTTTCGGAAGCGGAGGTGACATTTCCAGCCAAAACACTGCATTGTACAGTTAGTTAGTCTTCTTTGAATGTATTTCTTTGTGTGTGTGTGTGGAGTGGCTTTTTTTTGAGGCTTTTGAAGTGCCTCAACCACCTCCTTCCCCAGTTACAACCAACTCTGGGAGGTCACCAGTCCAGGTCCTTGCCCCAGAAGGCATGTGAAAGTAAATTAAAATGGAGCCCAGGCCTGAAGAATCCCTGAGCAGACCAAGCCAGGTAGGCCTCATCAGTGAGTTTAAACCTCCTCGATTTGCAAACATGAGCAGAAATGAACTTGAGCTATTTTTCTTGTAAATGTCTATATTAAAGAAAAACAGCACGTAAACTCAACCAATCAGAAGCAGCCAAAACACTTATAATTATGTAACTAGGGGCCTTCCAGCTATATAGATCAAATAAAGCAGCTGTATTACTATAACCAATCAAATATTTGTTTTGCTTTACTTGCACATTTATCCTATAAAAACTTCCCTCTTGGGAGGCTGAGGTGGGTGAATCACCTGAGGTCAAGAGTTTGAGACCCACCTAGCTAACATGGTGAAACCCCGTTACTAGTAAAAATACAAAAAATTAGCCGGGTGTGGTGGCACACACCTGTAATTCCAACAACTCAGGATGCTGAAGCAGGAGGGTCACTTGAACCCAGAAGGTGGAGGTTGCAGTGAGCCGAGATTACGCCATTGCACTCCAGCTTGGGCAACAAGAACAAAACTCCATCTCAAAAAACAAAAAACAAAAAAAACCCTCTCTCTTGGAGCTTCTGAGCCGCTTCCAATTTGGAACTAGTAGATTCATGATTCATTGTTTGCACAGCTCAACTCTTTCAAAATGTATTGTGCCTCAGTTTATCTTTTTAACAGGTGTCATATTTATAGCTCCATTTCGTTGATGATGACTGTAGACTAGAAAGAGCCTCATCTGAGGTCAAAATGTGCTGGACTCTAAAAAGAGCCTCAAAACTGCCCTGAAATCCAGTTGTTTCACTTAGCCTCGCATCTTTTATCATCATCCAACTTTAACCATGAAAGGGTCAAATGGCTTCTAGAGGCCATTGAACACAGCAGCCTGATGATGTAACAACCTTTTAAAAGAAATACAAATAAGCTCAGCTGAAATGTCTACAAAGTATCCAACTAAATGAATAGCAGATAGGATTTTCTGCTTCTAAAAGACAATGCCTTCTAGAATATCATCACATTCCATCACTCAATATTTTATTTAATCAAAGTTTATCAGTGCAGACTTTCTGCCAGATCCTCAGGGTGAATTCTAATTACACAGTGTAATGGGTATTTACAGAGCATGACCTTTCTAGAGACTGCCTGCCTGGCTTTGTATCCTTGCCCAGCAAACCACCAGCTTTGTGTCCGTGCACGTTTACTTCATCTCTCTGTGCATCAGATTTCCCATCTCTAAAATGGGAACAATGATGGAATCCACCTCATTTAATCCATGCAAAGTACTTAGAACAGTGCCTGGCACACGTGACTGGTTTAATGAATACTATCTCCTATAGTATCAAAGGGGAAAATGCCTCAGTCAAGATGAGAGTCATTGAACAAGATACGAGTTTGTCTTCAAAATAGATAAAATCAATTCAGTGGTATGCAGTGGACCAAGGATGGAGTTTTAGAGTTAGACGAACTTGAGTTTGCAAGTCATCTATGTAACGTCTAGAGACTTAATGAATGGCAACTAAATGAGGCAGCATGATAGTCGGATGTGTGAACTTCAGAGCCAGTCCCGGATTCCAACCCTCTGCCACTTAATACCTATGTGTTTATGGAAAAGACATTTACACTTTCTGTACCTCAGTTTCCTCCTCTGAAATAATGGAACAATAAAGCCTATGGGAGTTGTAGTGAGGGTTAAATGAGATGTGTGTATAGTTCCTGATAGGTAATCAATACTCAGTAAATTGTAGCAATCCTGCTATCAGTCTCTTCCAAATCACCTAGGTAGTGGCTACCTCCAAAGTCAGATCTCATGAGAAAGACAATTTTATTAAGTGTTCTAAAATACATGTAACATAAAATGTGCTACCTTAGCCATTTTTATGTGTACAGTTCAGTGGTGTTAAGTCATTCCCATTATTGTGCAGGCCATGCAACCATCCACCTTTAGAACTTTTCATCTTGGAGAACTGAGACTTCTACCCATTAAACAATAGTACCCCATGGCCCTTCCTCCAGCCACTGAAAAAGACACCATTCCATTTTCTATCTTTATAAATGTGTCTACTCTAGGTAACCTATATAAGTAGACTCATACAATATCTGGGTTTTTGTGACTTAATTTCACATAGCATAATATCCTCAAAGTTCATCCATGTTGTAGCATGCATCAGAATTTCTTTCCTTCCTAAGGCTGAGTAACATTTTGCTGTGTGTCTATATCACATCTTGTTTATCCATTCTTCTGTCAGTGTATACTTGGGTTGCTTTCGTGTTTTAGCTACTGTGAGTAGTGCTGTCATAAAGATGGATATGTAAATATCTGTTCAAGACTCTTACATCAATTATTTTGGGTATATACCCAGAAGTGGAATTTCTGGACCATGTGGTAGCTCCACTTTTCATTTCTTGAGGACCTACCATACTGTTTTCCACAGCAGCTGCACCGTTTTGCAATTCCACTAACAGAGCAGGGGCCAATCTCTCTGTATCTTTGCAAACCCTTGTTATTATCTGGAGTTTTTTGGTAGTAGCATCCTTAAGGGTGTGAGCTAATGTCTCCTTATAGTTTTAATTTGCATTTCTCAAATGATTAATGATGTTAAGTATTTTTGTGTGTGCTTAGTGGTCATTCATAAACCTTCTTTGGAGAAATGTCTATTCAAGTCCTTTGCCCAATGTTTACTTAGGTTGTTTCTTCTTGCTGTTGTTGAGTTGTAGAAAAAGACATTTTTAAAAGATATTTCAGAGACTTATTTTGTGAAAAAAAAATTTTTTCTTTATTCCTCAGAAAAATAAAGGGAATATTCTTAATGGAGAGAAAAATGGGCACTATAAGGTTATCTTGTGATAAGGTACATATTTTCCTAGGAATGGTTTATACAGAGGCCTCAGGTAAGGGAGCGCAGGGAAGGCCTGCGCCTCTTTCAGTGTAGCTCCAGCCCCAGCTCCAGCACCCTCAGCCTGTAGGGCAGACAAGAGCACTTCTACCTCTTGGGACCTGGCATCTTAGAGTGTCCACTCAGGCCCCATTAAAAGTGGTCACCACAAAGTAAAAACAGCCAGTGTCTGTTAATTTTTGTGCTGCTCTAATAAAATACAACAGACAGGGTAAGTTATACACAATAGAAATTTATTCCTCACGGTGCTGGAGGCTATGAAGTCCAAGAACAAGGACCTGGCAAGTCATGTCTGGTGGGGGCTGCCCTCGGCTTCAAAATGGCACCTCGGATGTTGTGTCTTCACGTGGCAGAAAGAGGAAGGACAGAAAGGGCCTGGGCTAGTTTCCTAATCCATTCGTAAGGGCAGAGCCCTCAAGACTTATTAGTCACTTCCCTAAAGGCCTTACTTCTTAAGGGAGATTAAGTTTCAATAAGAATTTTGGAGAGGACACACTCAAACCATAGCAGCGATTCTCAGAAGGAGACAAATACTGCATGATCCCACCTATATATCTAAAATAGTCAAACTCATAGGAACAGAGAGAAGAATGGTGGTTGCCAGGGGCTGGAGGAGAGGGCAATGTACAGTTGCTGTTCAATAGTTACAAGGTTCCAGCCATGCAAGATGAATACCTTCCGGAGATCTGCTGTACAGCATTGTCCCTACAGTTAACAACACTACGTTGCGCACTTAAAACCGTATTCAGAGGGTAGATCTCATGTGAAGCATCCTCACCATTATAGTCATAACGATAACATGGTCACCACTGGGGTTCTGGCACCTGGAATGGCAGCTGGCTTCTGGGTGACTTCAATGGAAAAGCATGTTTCATGGGTGACTGCACTGCTTTCTGAGCCTCCTTCCCCAGGTCACATCCTCTCTACGGCTTGAAGCACTGATACTCCACATGACATCCTATCACCTGAGAGAGTGAGCCCTGACACCCTCCCGTCTGAGTGCCCCCCGATCACTCCTCAGTGAAGACTGAGCTGCATCTCTAAATGCAACACTAAAATCCTGCTTTGCCTGCCCGGTTCAACTCTGAGTAAGGTCAGGAGAAGCAGAAGACAGTTTTTACTAGAACCTGAAAACCTTAGTTCCTTGCGTGCTCTTGCGGCCTGTACTGGGGTTCCAAAACCCAACGCCTCCCTGGCACCATCTCCTGCCTCCATCCTTGGGGAACGCCGGATCTTCCTACTCTGCCTTACCAATGGGGTAACATTGAATTCCCTGCCTTTGGCTTTTTTCACTTAACATTATTTAATTCTACTTTTACTCACAGCCTTCAGCCCTTAATTCAATATCTATTTACTCAACCACAGGCTGGGTGAACTTGATAGGAAACAGAAAGGAAGGCCAGAATGTGAAGGGATGTGATGGATAAAAACCAATGGATACCTTTGGTCCCCTTGATGAGGATGTGAGGCTGGGGGCCATCAAATGTTTATCAGGAACCTGTGCAAATAACATTCCTGTGGTAATTCCTCCTAATATGCAGTGAACTGATAATGTTTCAGGCATTTTATTTTTATATCTGCTCTAATAACTAAAAACAATTTTAAAAAGCAAAATATCAAGGCCGAAATATTTCAAAGAGGTATTTTTCTTTCACCTCTAGCTTGAAAGTAAATTGTTACTTTCTAAGCAAGCAAACAAAGGGGCTTTTATGCATATCTGATTAGCTCATTTCCTTTGATTTTGGCGAGTGATGTCATTTAGGCCCAGCTGTTGGTATGCTGCAAATGATTTCCCTTCCTCGTGTTTCAGCGACTCATTTCTGCCCCTAATGCAATTAGTTTGACTAGAACCCAGCATTTTTCATGGTTCACCTCTCCTATCAGCTGATACCCAGAACTCCTCTGGAAAGAACGAGGAAAGGCCACAAAGGCATTTAAATGCCTAGCAAGCAATAATTTCACCTAGACGCTAATCAAGCAGTTGTCTTTTTGAGGTCTCTTTCCAACGCCTTAGCTCCTCAATTCATCCAGTAAAATAACAGTCAGAGTCTGAGGTAGTTGAAAGAGTCTAACTTAAAGGGCCCTGGGTTTTGGGGAACATGTCTGGCTTGCCCCATTCTGTCCCATTTGCTTACAGCAAAGCTGATATATTAATGCAACAGGGAAGGTAGCAGAGCCCTAGAAAGAACAAGTTGGCACAAAGGAGTGGTCCCTTTCAGTTCTCCAGACTCAAGTCCACATTTGAATGCCACACCCTGCTAGCAAAGTGTCTGGGCATCTCTATACCCCAGTTTCCTACTAGTGAAAAGAAGCTACTAAAAGTAAGCACAGATAGTGGGAGAGGCTGTGAGTATGTGGGAATCAGGGCTATATGAGAAAACTGTGTACATTTGCTCAGTTTTTCTGTGAACCGAAAGGTTCTCCAAAAAATAAAATAATCTACCTTTAAAAATAAAGCAACAGAAGGACAGAGGGTTGCTGTGAAAACAAGCCCTCAAGGTGCTTAGAACCCTGCATAGAAGTCATTATGACGTGCTGCTTCTAAACTGGTTATTAGGTGTTGGCTCAGGGAGTTCTCTGCTAGGTCAGCGCTTTTCAGCCTTGACATTTGGGCCATTTAATTTTCTTGGGAATGGGGATGTCTTGTGAACTGTAGGATGCTCAGCAGTATCCTAGCATCCCTGGTCTCTCTACTCACTGGATGCCAGGAGCAACTCCAACACCCTCCCAACCAGTAGTGAAAACTAAAGATATCTCCAGACGTTGCCAGATGTCTCCTGAGGGGTACAATTGCCCTTGGTTGACAATCGCTGTGCTAGGTTAAAAGAAAAACAATAACCAGTGCACTCAATGGCTCTACTGAATAGAAACACTTCATGGTCTAGGTGAAACTCTTTGAGAATTTTGATTATTTGTTTCTCTAATTGTCAAGCCCTGCTTTCATCTGCTCAGACTGATCTCACAGCACACCTGCCTCACCTCAGCCCTGCCCCTGATCTCCCATATCTGGATGCACTGCTTTCCCTCTTCCTTGCTTTTCCTGTCTGAACTCTTCCTAGCTTCAGCCTCCACCTCCTTCATTACTTCTTGAATGCTTCAAGCCTTCAGAGTCATCTATCTTCCCAGATTCTTAGTCTGCCACTCCATATGGCACCTCATTTTGCCTTGGCCCCTGAGAGGATTGCTTGAGAGGCTAGGGGTTTTTGAACAGGAAAAGACAATACAAATCATGTAACCCAGCAGCCTCCAGGAGCAGATGAGGACATTTGGGTGCAGGAAGGCCACAGACCTCACGCAAGGTCACAGTGCTGGTGACATGGAGCTGGAATTATAACCTCTGCTTGGTAGCCATGTCCCTGAAGTGGATGCTCCTGGGAGTTGGTCCCTTGTCCAGCCTGTGTCTTCATACAAAAATTATGGCTCTGTGTTTAGACAGGTTGGCTGGTGCAGACTCATCAGTGGTTCAGAGATATCCAAAAGCTTCTGGTCTTCTCATAGTGCTGAGTCTGAGACATTTATCTTTCTTGCATCTCCTGCTTACACTAAACCTCCATTGGAGCTTACTAGCCAGAGAAGTGAGTGTAAGCAGTTCTCCCACTTGAGCTTGCATTAGAATCACCTGGAGGGCTTTTTGAACCATAGACAGCTGGGCTCCATCCCTGGAGTTCCTGATTCTGTGAGGGTGGGGTGGGTCTGGGACTTTACATTCCCAGGTGATGCTGATACTTCTAACTTTGAGATCTTACTGGAAGAGCCTGCCAGAGAGTGGTTAAAACCCGGAAGAGCCTGGAAGAGCCCGGACTTCAGAACTGGAAAACGCTGAGTTTGAGCTCCTGTTTCACCACCTTAGGGGAGTGATTCAACTTTGGTAAGTTTCAGTTTTCTCGTTTTTACATAAAGAGAATAATTAGAAATGCTCATTATGATGTATTGTCACATATAATATCTTCAGTTTTTGGCACTTACCAACTCGCAGCATGGGTCCTGACCAGAGGAATAAAAAGAGGTCAATTTCCTTTCATTTTTTTTAAGCTAGTGGCTTAAGAGAAAACAGCAAGTAAGCGAGGCTCAGGGAATGTGTTTAATTTGGCATGACTCTGCAAAAATCGTTTTATGTATTAGCCGTTTCTGTAAAATGGACCAAATAGCTCTTCTCCACTTGCCCCCAAAGTCCCCGGGACCTGTTGGAAAGGTAAGAGGATAGTCATGAGTACTTTGAATATAACTAATTAATGATATGACGCTGCTATAAAAGCTCATTCCTGACTTGCCTCTCTCAGCAACGGTCCTGAGTTCTTCTCTTGCCTTTGTTTTTTCCCAAACCTGCATAGCTTACCTTCCAAACAGACACTTTTCTCCTCGCTATAGCCCAAGTGAATATCTCCCTTTTCTGATGCATCTCTATTGCCTAATTGCTACTTAACTGTAAACACCTTGCTTTGAAACTTACTTGCCTAAGGAGTACTGTCTCCATGTCTCTTCTTTCTGACTAAACGTTTTTTGAAGAAATAAACTATGCTTTCCATTTCTTTTTAATTCCCCCTGAGTGCCTGGGATCAGTCAATAGCAAATGTTGATTAAGTGTATATTGCTTAGTTTGCATAGAATTTCAAAGCTTTAAACAGGACAAGGGAAAATAATTTCCTTTGCCTTCATATTTAAGATAAAGGTCTCTTCATTTTTCAGGTCAGTGGTGCTTGTGTACTATGGGTTGGTCATGGCAGACTCCTAACTGCTCAAGTTGATCACCTACAGGAGGGTGACTCCCAGGGTGAATCTATATGCTTTGCTTTCCTCTGGTATTATATTAACAAATACTTTTGGGGAGATGACAATCTCAGGAAAATGAAACATGTCTGGCTTTTCATTGTCATATTACTTTGTAATATGACATTATTTTACCAAAATGATAAAAGCATATGTTGAGCAGGTTACCCAGATATCTCAGGTTAAATGGCCTAAAATTAAACTCCTAAAATAATAAAACCCCTGGAGTAATGGGAAGTGGAGCAGAAGAGAGGGAGTTGAGAGGGCTTCTAGTCCTATGTTACTCATTTCTGTCCTACAAAAGTGTAGCTATAAAATACAATGGGCCAGTTGAGGTACATGTGGTTTAACTTGTATTCCCTCTCCTTTCCAAAAACATGCCTTATTTTAATAGGACAGTGATTCTACCAAAGATAGGTTTCCCTGGGGAGCAGTTAAGGAGAGAGCCGTGACCACAGTGGCCCATGGAACATCCACGGAGTCTAAAACCTTGCAGTATTCTGAATGGGGTTCCCTGTTGTTTCTTTTTCGCTAGCATTTATCCCTTTGGGAAAACTATTCCACCTCTTAGAATTCGATTTCCAGCTCCCTCTTTATCTCCATACCCTCAAAGAGGACTTGGTATACTGATTCCATTTCACTACCAGTAGTGAAGCATGAGTCTAATCACCAAGCGGCGGGATCCCCCAAAGCAGGTGGCTGGATGGAGGTGGTGGGACTTGGAAGAGGCAGCTTGACTTTCTTAGGATGCCCTTTAGTCTTCTATTTGGACCAGTAGCTCTTGACTGTGGATCGTGACACACACTTGCACACAGTGTCGCAAATAATGTGTTACCAAGCACACAGTACGGCACTGCTGAGTTACTATGAACGGAAAGTGAGATTGAAGACCCCTGGACAAAAGTCACTCGTGTATTTCAGTATATGCTTTCTGTTGTCCCTACGTGTGCTGATAGGAGCGAAAGCTGAACGACAAGAGTTGAAAGCAATTTTCAAAGATTGAGAAATATAGTATCCAATAAGAGTATTCCATCCTCTGGCCCAATGAGTATAGTATGTTGAACAAGACCTAGGCCTGGGAATTCCTGTTCTGCCACTTACCAGCTATGTGAACTCAGGCAAAGCTATTTAACTTTGAAGAATCTTGGATTTCCCACCTGAAAATTAGGAAAATACTATAATCTAGCTCAGAGAATTAAGAGGATTACGTGAAATTAAGAGAATTGAGGATTAAGTGTACTTATTACTGTGCATATCAGGAATCTTTGTGTGCCCACCCTGTGGTTCAACTAGCAGTCTCAATACTGAGTTTCACTGTCCTATATTGTAAGCTCCTTGAAGGCAGAAACCACGTGTCACTCATGTTTGTATTTTCTGTGCCCTCCTGATGTGCCTAATATATGATTTTTTTTAAAAAAAATGCTCTGCTGGCCGTGGTGGCTCAAGCCTGTAATCCCAGCACTTTGGGAGGCCGAGATGGGTGGATCATGAGGTCGAGAGATCGACACCATCCTGGTCAACGTGGTGAAACCCCGTCTCTACTAAAAATACAAAAAATTAGCTGGGCATGGTGGCGCGTGCCTGTAGTCCCAGCTACTCGGGAGGCTGAGGCAGGAGAATTGCCTGAAAGGAGGCAGAGGTTGCGGTGAGCCGAGATCGTGCCATTGCACTCCAGCCTGGGTAACAAGAGCGAAACTCAATCCCCCCCACCCCAAAAAATGCTCATTGAATTCTTGTTGAATGATTTTACAGTTTCCATTATTGCTGACTATATAATATAAATGTTTCAAACAATTTTAAAACCAAGTTTCCACCATACTTTCGGAGATACAGATTGAGACCATGAAAATAGTTCCCAAGTTCCCAGATGATAGCATTATTTGTACTCAAACTCCTCATGTAGAAAGAAAGAAAATTTCGAGTTGTTTGTCATCTTGATGGTTTAAATTTTATTTCCAGGGTAGTGGTTGATTAACTCTCAAATTATATCATGTGTCTAGTGTCCAGTAATGGGCAGTATCTGATGTGTGAATGAATTTAATTGTGGGCCCAGATGTTACTTTCAGGAGCAATTTGCCTGTGATTTGAGGTGGTGGTCCCACACAGATACATTAGAAGGGAGAAAATTATAATGGTGGGTTCAAAATAGTCACCGCCAGGGGAAAGAGTAGCTCGACTATTTCTGCCAGAGAAGCAGGATGTTGGATGGGATTTAGGAGAAAAGCATAGCGTGTGTGCTTCCTTTTCTAAACAGGAAAGAACCAATATGAATCACTCGAGAAGGAAGTGATTGTGTTCTGTCTTACTTAAGTGGACAAACTTTGAAGTTAAGGTCTTCTTCATATTTGTCCATGCAACACTCAAAACTAAAAATGTTGTTACACAGGAGACATATTTGATTCTTGTTTTTGTTACTTTATGGTGATGACAATAATGCTGTGACTGACATAAATTTCTGTAAACAGTAAAACAAGCAAGAAGCTTTCAATAAAGCTTATGCAATAGGATAGGTCAAGGTGGATATGACTTTACCTACTGCTTGATCCAGGGCTCAAATGAGATCACCAGGTTCTGTTTCTTTCTCTCCATTTTCCAGTGACCTGTCCCTTGATGCTGCCTCCCTTGTCAGGCTCCATCTACTCACAGGATGGCAGCAGCAGTCCCAGATTCTACATTCTCTCTGATTCACTTCTCAGAGGAGAAACATAATGGTCTCTTTTCAGGATTCTTAGCCAAAGTCTCTTTGGGTAATTGCTCTGATTGGGTAATTGACCGCTCTCCAAGCCAGTCACCATGGTCAGGGGTGGAGATATGACCTAGTGATGATTTAAGCCTGGCATACTTGTTTCATTTCAGAAGTTCATGGAGAGGAGCTGCCAACACAGATATCCATGATCAATATTCATACCTAGTATTGTTGCCATGTATGAAAAGCTATGTGCCAGATACTACCTTATTATATCCCTATAGCCTGTCATTAATTTATTCAGAGACCATATTGAGGTCCTACCATGATGAGAAAAACAAAACAAAGCATGGTCTTTACTCACAGTTTAGAAAGAGAACATAGCATGAGGTAAGTGTTTCTATCTACATTTTACAGATGGGGCAACTGAGGCTTCCCTACAGTATCACATTTATTTTAAGTTTTATCATAAGGCCCGGGGTGCAGGTTCAGGCTTGTTATATAGGTCAAGTTGTGTCATGGGCATTTGTTGGACACATTATTTCATCATCCAGGTATTAAGCCTAGTACCCATTAGTTATTTTTCCCGATCCTCTCCCTCCTCCCACCCTCCATCGTCTAGTAGGCCCCAGTGTATGTTATTCCCTTCTAGTGTCTGTGTATTCTCATCATTCAGTTCCCACTTAAAATTGAGAACATGTGGTATATGGTTTTCCATTCCTTGTTAGTTTGCTAGGGATAATGGCCTCCAGCTCCAACCACGTTCCTGCAAAGGACATAACCTTGCTCTTTTTTATAGCTGCATAGTATTCCATATGTATATGTACCACGTTTTTTATCTAGTCTACCACCGATGGGCATTTACGTTGATTCCATGTATTTGCTATTGTGAATAGTGCTGCAGTGAACATACACATGCATGTGTCTTCATGATAGAAACATTTATGTTCCTTTGGGTATATACCCAGTCATGGAATTGCTGGGTTGAATGGTAGTTGTGTTTTTAGGTCTTTGAGAAATTGCCACACTGTTTTTCACAACAACATTACAATTATAGATGACCCTTGAACAATGCAGGGATTAGGGATGGTGACCACAATGTTGTCAAAAATTCATATATAACTTTTGACTCCCCTAAAACTTAACTACTAATGGCCTACTGTTGACCAGAAGTCTTACTGATAACATAAACAGTCGATTAATGAATGTTTGGATGTTATGTGTATGATGTGCTGTATTCTTACAAAAGTAAGTGAGAGAAAAGACTATAATTGAGAAAATCATAAGGAAGAGAAAACATACTTACTGTTCATTAAGTGCAAGTGGATCACATAAAGGTCTTCATCCTCCTCATCTACACATTGAGTAGGCTGAGAAGAAGGAAGATGAGAGGGAGTTGGTCTACTGTCTCGGAG